GAAATGTAAACATTTATTTAAACGTGGGGGTGTTATTTTTGTTTATGATAAGTACATACACATGTGAGAGGAGTCTGCGTCATTATTCTCTCACTTAATCAAAGATTAGTGTTGCATTCCTGCATTAGTCCAATTATCTTATCTGTTGTTGGGGGTAGTATTCATCATCCCGTGTCTGTAATTGAGATCCTGTGGAGTAATCCATCAAGCAGACATTGCACAGAGATGACACTTTATTGATTTCGCAGGGCAAGCCGCGGCTCAACCACATCAATCTCCCACTGACAGCCACTGCAGTAATTGTGAGCCACCGCTGCTAATGGCTATTCGGCTTGACCATCATTGGCCAATTATCCACCATAGGATGCCATACAGGTAGAAAGAAACATAATGAGGCTGCTGTGATGAGTTGAAAGGGACACAGTGTGAAGCGAACACAAGTAGTTTTCGTTTTTTGTTCCGGGAGAGTCGTTTTTGTGTTCGGACACGGGCCAAAAGCTTCATTTTGACTGGTGTTTGCTGTTGGAGTGTTGCTCTTATGCCGAACGTTACATACTCTTTTTCCCCTCTCCTCCACCCTCGTAGTGCGAGAATCATTGGCTGGCATGCCTTAGCAGTTCTGTTCATGACATGCTTCGTGTAGGCTGGGAGCTGCGTTGGACCCGGGATAAGCGGGGGGATTTCTGATTCTCTGCTCTACTTGGCGCTGGCCCGCAACACTGCCTGATGTCAGACAGAAAGACTGGCCCTCTTCCCTTGCTCCTGGAAAAAAAATGTTACTAACACTGAGACGAGTTTCTTTTTTGGCTTGAGGCGGGGGGGGGGGGGTTCTTGTGCACACAACCCTACTTTTGTCCTTGCTTTTTCCAAGCCAGGCCGGGTTCTTGCCACTTGCCACATAAAAGGCAGAGGGTGGTATTTGTACCACAATACTCCACAAATCGACAGTTAAACTGCAGTGTATTGTACTGATTGAAATTCAGGGATTAAGTAAAAAGCATTTGTCCAAAAGATCTTTATTTAGATGTCTGAGTTTAACAAGACATATCACGCTGAGTGGCCGGGAAGTTTTAGTGCACTGATCTAGTAGTCAGTGATGGGTATTGAGTTTATATACCACAGATAAAATAATATATTTTAGTTGCATGGAATGTTAAGCATTCTACATCAACTTTGCAAAATTGCACCAACAGTTGGGTTATTTTTTTCCACGAAAGGAGGAAGTAAAGTCCCAAAGGAAAGAATCAGAAAGTTCATTTGAATGTTCCGTGTATAAACAATATACAATATATGGAGTATCTAACATAGTCTTTGTCTGTTACTTCCAATTCTGTGTGCAAGCCACTGACTGCTAGATTTTCAGGGATAGCTTTCGTTTTTTCTCAGAAAAGTTCTCACGATCAAATCCATTTGAGTGTTTGTTGTTCCTCTAACCCAGAGTGTCATAGCAGGACTGTCATCTTTCCGACTGAAAATGTGCTCAAAGGCCCTGTGGGTGACACAGACTCCATTGTCGTTGCCTGCTTTTGTTGTCTGCTCTTTGTCAAAACACATCAGAAGTGCATTTGTTTGTCGTAATAAATAGGAAACTAATGTTCATTAGAATCTTAATACTATGATTACTGATTTCCTCTAAGGACTGGGACTATTGAGGTCACTTGAAGTAGAACATAAGTCTCTTGCTCCAGTTGATCAAACTGTGTCAAGTAATGTAGCTCACAATACTCTTGGGGGTAAAATCTGGGGTCAAATCGTGGGGTAATACTTAAATCACTAACATCAGCTGCCTGTTACCATCTGAGAAAACCCAGCTTCCACACCATGCATGATTAACCTTACAATGATTGATAAAACGTGAGCTGTCGAGGCCATGGGGGGGGGGGGGGGGATGTGACTGTGGCTGTGGGCTCATTGCTCAGTGTGCATGAGAAGGTCTCTGAGCTTCGAGATTGTCTTTCTTTGATACTGGTCATTCCTGTTTTGTATTTTGACATTAAAAGGTTTCAACGGGTTTTAGTTTTATTCAGTGTGTTTAACTGATTTATACTTTTAAATTTTATAAAAAGCCGAAGTGAAAATAGGAGTTTATCAGTAAAAAAAAAATCTGTCCATTTTGTCTTGTTAGTTGTCCTCATTTGGTCAAATGAAATGATCCAAAATGAGGAAAACAAAAAGAAAAATGTTCTTGCTGAGTCAGCTTAAATGATGGGAGTCAAATACTCCACCTCAAAAAGAGAAAACATTTCTTTGTGCTGAAAGGATTAGCGGTGTTAACGTTTTTGTTATATCCCACTATGACTGGAACAGAGACAGAAACTTTGTATATTTAATTTACCTTTGTGCTCCTTAGTGTCCTTTAGGGAGGCATTAAAGTTCCAACGCGTTCGCCGAGAGTCACAAAAAAAAAGCAACATATGGATGACACATGGTTTTTTCTACAATGTGTTTCTTCATGCTCGTGCTTTTCCAAGCAAGCACCGAGGCGGCAACAATACACGCGCTCACCCCACTGGATTGCCTGTCGTGGGCAGATGTGGGGTTTGGTGTGTCCACCCGAGAGCGCAGACCTAATTAAGTCTGAAGAAACACATCATTTTATTTGGCTCCGTCTATTCTTTGGCCATGCTTTGATCCAATGATTATTACCAGCTCTTTGGCTCTGCGGAGGACTGGAGGGCGGGGAAGCATTGTGTCTCATGCTGACAGCTCCCAAACAAAATAACCCCCCCCCCCTTCCCCCCCCCCCCTCCCTGGGTTGTTGCAGCTGAAACTCCCAGCTGGTTTGTCAGCGGTGAGGTCAGTGAGAAAATCCAGCTGCATGGGGAGGTTTTTTCTCCTCTGCTGTGGATTATCACCAGTCAACCATCTGCTGGTGTCCTGGAGTTTAAAAACTGAACATCTTCGTGCTTGTACAGTATGTATGTACAGTACATTGTCCCATTTAAGACACACGCTTCCTTGTATAGATAATGAACATAAATACAGATACTAATGTTGTACTAAACACTCCAGTGGGGTCAAGTTTCTTTTTTTTTTCTCCCAACATCATTTGTTGATTTATTTCCGCCGTCTGTTAACAGTCCACTCTCCTGCTGAGTCATTTCCTCCACATAAGAAGAGAGATGAGTTTGGTCACCTCTGTGGGTCAGTAGAAACGCTGCCAGTTTTGAAGTGGGGCTTTTTGACTTAGTGGTGACAGGACAGGAGAGCCCAGAGTTTACTCTGCATAACCGCATCCCAATCACTCTTTCTAGCTTTCGAGAGGCCACAGTCGGGCTGTGCGAGTTCTGTAAGTTGTTTTTTCCTCTCGGAACTTGGACAACAGTTGCGGTGAATTGGGAAATAAACGTTCTTAGCCAGATCTTGATCACACAGCTGCCTGCAAGGCTCTTTCATGTGAAGATTGATTTAAAAGATTTCAAACCCCAAATTTTGTGGTTGATTTGTGGTTTCAAGTTGCCCTGTGCGAGGTGAAAGATTTTTTCACCTCGCACAGGGCAAAGCAGCTGCAGTGAACACAAAGCCACAGGGCACTGATCATTTGTCTTGATGCTATCTGTTGAGCCATAAATAGGGTGTACTTTTTTTTTGTACTGGAGCCTCAGCTGTAGTTTGTCAGCTTTTTTCTTCTAACCAAAGCTTGAAATACTTCAATTTCAAATAAGAGTTGCCAACGTCTCTGACTTTAATGCATTTTTCCTTCACCCATTTTGGGTTTTTTTACCATTAAATATGACCTGTTGTTGGTAGGAGGGAATACATAGCATATCAGCTCTTCAAATAGGATAAATATTATTCCTTTCTTCCTTTCTTTTTTTTTTAATAAGCCACAAAGTGTTCCAAAGGAGGGAGGAAGACGGGGCATCCGGATCTCACACCCAGATTTGACAACTAGTTTGGCACTAATGGGTTTGTTCGGAAAAAAAGACAGAACTAAAGCCGCTTTTGCCACTTTCAGGATGGCTCCAGGCAGAGACATTATTGCTGATTTGAGTCGCTCTAATGACCACAAAATGTTGCAGGTCATTTGAATGTAATTATGTGTTGATATCGCTTTCTTGAACAAATGACCCATCTGGTCGTTTTTGGAGGTCAGTCTCCCGCCTGAATGGCAGCATTATGAGGCAAAATGCTTGAATTTCAAAGCAAATGGAAGTGTTCAGACATGGACCCGGGTCACGCTGCCAGCTAGGCTGTACCAAAACACCGCTGCAGCAGCATGAGAGAAATAATGGCCAATTTAGTTTCTGCTTCTAATTCGACAGATCTCTCACGACTACAGTATCGCAGTTTATCCCCACTCCAACCAATACTTTCAGCCTGGACTTTCACTCGGTGAAATGAAAGTAATTGGCGGAACTTGATGATTTTAAAATATCTATAAAAAATAGCAATTATCCAAATTCGCATGCACGACCCACTCTAATTGACAACAGGTTTGGATCTCAATCTGTACTTTTACAAGTTACCATCTGAAATAAACTATGGGAGTATTTCTCTTGCCTTTTTTTTTGCATAATCAGTCATATAACTTGTGTTTTTTTGCACTGATGCTATAACCCAATAATCCTGCAATTCAGAGTGTGGAGTTATTTATTCCCGTGTGTAACTAAACCTGATTACTTCACTGTTATGTCCGTCTGCTCATTTCTTGCTATTGTCAGCAGTGTCTAAGCTGATTACTGCTTGGCTGTATCACGGAATGAGTTATTGATTGATATTAAATGTTTCTTCATGGTGCATGCCTTTGTTGTGAGTGTGGTTTTAATGGAAAACGTCACTGCGTGCCTCTTTTTAATTTGTTTTCTTTCTTCATGCCTACAGCTGCTTGCTGAGATTTATTTTATCCTAAAGCAAGGTTAAGTTTGCAATTGCATCTGGCTGGTTATCTTCCACGCTGGTGTGGCAATGATGGAATGTCTCAGGACGTTCAGACTTTTTTTTCTGACAAAGTCCTTTGGGGTCCCTCCTGAGCATTCATTGTTTTTAATCCTTTCTAGGGGGCTGTTTGCAAGTAACTACTCAGAAACCCATTACCTTGAAGACGGCAGTTCAGTCACAGGCCCTCACAACTTCACGGTACGTTTGTTTTTACTTTACTTTTTAAAAATTATTATTAAAAAGCAACACAAAAAACCTTGATTGTAGTACTGCATGTTAAACTCTTTTTCTGGACACCCGTTGATTCACTGTGCCAGTATTAGTGGGAGTAAGAAATTAAAGAAAATTTGAAAACGTGGTTGGACTCCATTTTGAACCATCTGGTTTGGTTCTTAAAGAAGACTGTGTCGGTGAGTGATTTGTGTTCGATGAAATAAAGGCACAGGTCAGAGAGGTTTTGCTGAGTTGCTGAAGTCTTTCAGAATGAACGTCTTCAAAATGGTTTGTTATGCAGGTCTGCCAGAAAACACTGAATTAGTAAACATCAAAGTGCACCCCAGACGTCTGTGTGACTGTGAAAGATTTAGCTAATTTATGAGCTTTCGACTGACTGAATTTAGATGGCTTATTTATCTGGAATACGTTTGTTATAATTGTTAAATGACTTGTAATTTTTCATCATCTGTGCCTCCAAATTAAGGCTGATGTACGGTGACATGCATAATTTTCGGTCAACTGTGGCACCGGGGACTTTTTTCCATACTTCCTGGTATTTAGCCTCAGCTCTGTGATGAGTATTGCTGATATTCATCAAACTCAATTGGGCATGTCCCAGCAAAATATGCTCTGTTTTAAAATTCTACGGCTGTTTGAAAGCATCTTCCGGGGATACATGACTATTTTGAGGTTCAGAAAAAGGAAGGCAATCATCGTGGACCATAATGAATGAGCTTGTTGTGGCTTAACCACGTGGAACGGTTTCTATGCATTTGAGCTTCTACCAGCTTGCCTTTTTTCAGAGGTTTGTTTATTTACAGTTTTTAGAGCAATTAAATGTTTCATTTTTGTTCAGAAAACCGAGAAATTATGATAATAAACAGCTTGAAGTCTGAGTACAATGCACCCAGCCAAATTACAGCTGACATCAACAAAAGAGGGGATTCATGCAATTCAATAATGTCCAACCCACACAGAAAAAAAACAACAACAATATCTTTCCATTTGAAACTGCTCTGAGACCCGAGATGGACTATCACTAGTGGGGCTCGGCCATTTAATTAGAATTTCAGCAATCCCATGGCATGAAGACAAGGAAGGAGTTGTTACAGTTCAGCTCGACCGATTCTGAGAGGCGACACTTTAGCTGTCCAACAGTGGGTGGATAAATGAGTTTTCATTTTGAAAATGAATGCATTCATAATGACGGTCATGTGATGTTTATGAAGAAACGATAATAACCGTATCTCATTTTGTTCGTTTTGACAGCAGCCCAGAGTCAAATGAAAACTATGTGAACTGGAAAAAAGGAGCCAGTACTCACACCTAACAGCAAATGTTTACATTAAAGCACTCGGTGATTAAATGCTGGATACACATGTAACTGATTTACTATACATATATATGGACATCTTTTGACCTCCGTTCCTCCTCTCATTCCTCACTTATGACCATAGCCAGGTCTTTATGGGAGGATCTTTTTACTGGAAACAGTCACTTCTTTTGAGACTTATCCCTAGGTAATTTATTTGTCCAGCCAGCAGGGAGGAGACTGATATAGTGATATGGGAAAGGGATGTTGCGGATTCATTTCTGTGTCAACGACAAGGTACTGCTGGGAGTGACTTAAGCATGTGGCAGGCCTCCCTCCATTCCTGTTTTACACTCTCTCCCTTTTTCTCTAAATCTAAACCCGCAGAGAGCACAATAAATAAGTGTCATGTGTTGTAACAAAAGCCGTCCACTGGGAATATGAATCACCTCCATGAATATTAGACACTTACCTTGGAATGAGTTTTGTAGAACAACAATGTCATGTTCACATCCTGGGTTGCCTCCCATTATAATCTGAGATTTAGTTATTCATTTACAGATATGAACACATAAGCGCTTCCCTTTCTCATTTCTGCAGAAACCATAGAAGCTAGAAGTCTATTCATATCCCTCATATCGATGCATCACAGTCATGATCTCATCAAAGAAACATGAGATGATAGCATTAACTCAGTGCACTAAATCCAGCCCTGTTCCTCCCTGCTAAACCAAGATTTCATATTTCATGTAATGCTCTGTCCTGGCTTTGCACCTTTTTACTTTGCTATAATGGAACATTCTCATCCACTATGCCACTAGAAAGTGTCCGAAAAGCTTAAAACTCAAAGGGCTTTGGGCCATCTTCAGATCTCTTATGAGTAAATAGAAAGCACATTTTGCCTAGCTGTGGGGGCAGTAGAAGAACTTGTAAACACAGTGGGTTTTACTCCTCTGTAAGTGCAATTCCCTAAAAAATGGGGGAAAAAATTGTGATCTCATAATTAGACCCTACAAATGTAGTATCTCCATCCATCGGATTTCCTCAGTTTGCCTGAAGTCACAGTTGTTCGATCCTTTTTCCTGTTCATCCTTTGCTATGGACAACTTTTTTGAAAACTGACTTAACATCACTGACCTTAAATTCAAGACACATGTTTGGCGGTCCTCATGTACTAAAGCTTGTTTTGCTTTCCCCATAGGGAGCCCCACAAACATGAAACGTTGATATCTTGGTGTCGGTTGCCTGGACTGATAGAAAATTTGCTTAGTTTGATCTAGGGTCATGGCACAATCCGTCCAGAAAATATTATACTGATTTATTGGCATTTCAAATAAATTTAGAAAGAGAGAATTATAAAAGGAACCTTTTTCAAGTGTTTCCAAACGCAATAATGCAAGCGTGTTACTTTAATCCTATCAGTTGTGTTGAAAATGTTTTTCTGTTTAGGAGCTAATCACTGACAGATCTACACCAAACAAAACCAGCAAAGGGAAAATGTATTTTTCCTGATTTTTATAATCAAAAACAGTTAATCAAAAGACAGCACTTCATATTTGATGTTACTGTGTGATCAGTAAATCGCCTACACTGGGGATACAAAGGTCCACATCCTGGTTTTCCACTTGCTTACAGCCCATGTTAACAGTTCAGATGCCCACAGTCTGCTAAAACCCATGCCAGGGATTGTGAAGTTCCAGATCACATTATTTACTCAGGCTGTATTAATTAGATCATGCCAGAAAATAATAAACACGCATGGGATTCTTAACAAAATACTATGAAGTGCCCACTGGTGCTGTATGAAGCCAAAATTCTTTTAATACCAGAAACCCTTTAAGAAAGTGAGCATGGTAAATCAGCGTCTCTGGAGATTAGCCACCTAGAACACGGATATTTCCTGCTTTCACTGCACATTTAGAGGCAAACTAATTTTGGGTGGAGAATTCACATTTCCCTCTTTTTTCCAAAGAAGGGCGGCAGCAGTGCTGTCGGTGCGACCTCACCTGAGCAAGGCCGTCTAATTGAAGCAGAAGGCTGTTTTTACTCCAAACCAGACACTTCCTCCCCACCCACTTACTGCCAGGCTTTGTTCAATAAACACAGACTTAATTCACTTTCCTCACTCCCTGCCATAGCTTGACAGGTGGTCCATTAAAGTGGATACTAGGGAATGCGGCAGAGAGCAAAGCTGATGCCGGGAAATGTGAAACTCCAACTCATCTGGTCACATTCATTAACCCGTGGCAACGGGTGGGAATGGCTTCTGCTTACCAGGCGAAAGAATCTTAGGCCATATTCAGTTTGCTCATTTTTACCAGTTGTCCCCTGGTGGAATTTTAATTGTACTTAGACTTACACTCAATTATTGTTCACAATGTTCTCGGGATTCTTGTGTTAAAGATGAAATTCCTCTGTGCTTCCTCAGACAAACTGCTACTACCATGGTGAGGTGGAGGGTCACGTCAACTCAGATGTCACACTCAGTACTTGTGCAGGAATTAAGTAAGTGGGTCGTGCACTCTTTTTTTTTTCATCCAGATTTCTCATGTCAGCACCATCAATATTCCACGTACATGATGGACGGTATGCAAGTCCAGGAACCCCCCAAAGGAAGATTTCTGCTCAGTTCTTGCTCGTTTGATTTACTTGTTGAATTGATTGCTTTGATTATCTTTAATCTCTCAAAAGCCAAATTTCCCAGCTGTCAAGCTCAACTAAGCAGGCGCTGTGTGATTCTTTTTATTGCAAAAAAAAAGTGTCACTGGGGAAGAAACCTGAGCAGTTTTTAACAAGACACAATCCCCTCTCCCTCCCCTTATTACCGAACGTTAATCAAACCAAATACATCAACTTCCCGGGTCAGTTTTAGGTTGGAGTCATTGTAAACGTAACATGGGACAGTTTTGTCTTCTATAGAGAAGGCTAACTCCTTGTATTCTTATAAAGCATGTTATTGGCTGTTGGTCTAACTGTCTAGATTTTCATTTTGGATCCCTCTAACGTGAAATTCAATATTAACAACCAAAAAATAATGGGAGACATTTTAGGTTCTTTCTATTTATGTAATCTTGTTTGTTTTTTTTGTCTAATATTTGTTCAGAAGTGTGAAACAAAGTGGAAAAAATTAATTGCAAACTTTCACACTTGGCCAGCCCGGTGTCTGTAGATAATGAGTTTTGACATTGAAGTTGAGATGACACCCTGTTTACACTGTTGAAGCTGATATTGTGAGAAGCTTTAGTCTTGGAAATAGTTTGTTTGCAGATGTCAAACCGGAGAAGTTATTGCAGCAATATCACTGGACGCCATGGGGAATGTTTTCGTAAATCAGCCAAAATTCTACACCCTCTGCAGTGATTTAGATGTCCAAGTAGCCCTTGCTGGTGACCTTGGTCACTATATCCTTTTTTTTTTACTTCAGTTTCTCTGAAATGTGTCTGCTCAGTGATGAATCAACAGATTGTTTTTTGAGAAAAGGTTACTCATTGCTTGACCCTCTTATAAAGACAAATAGTCCCTGGTTTTAGTTGGCAGCACTAAAGCTTGTGGGGGTGTTCAGTTTGAGTTAATTTGGGTTTTTGGAAAGATTTTTGCAAGTCAAGCAGTTTGTACAAATTCTCTGAGTGAAGGTGATGCCACTTTAAATCACAGAGGCTTTTGGTGACGGAAGAAAGAAAAAACACACCATTAATTCTGGTGACAGTCACATACAGTCAAATCGACCCAATTCGGTTATTCTGCTGCATATATTTATGTTCAAAACTCTCATTCATTTTAAGCCCTGCTTTTATTCAAACTTATGACAGCATGTTTCTCTTTCGGCAGGGGTTTTATATCTCTTGGAGGCAGATCTTATGTGCTGGAGCCATGTGCTGATCACTCGGACGGGACTCACTGGATCTATTCCGCAGAACACCTCAGTTTTGTTCCTGGCACCTGTGGCCATAATTTCAACATATCCCACCCCACGTCACGCGCAGCCGGCAGTCCGTTCAAAGCCTTCGGTGCACGAGTAAGGCTTTTTAAATTTTCCATGTGGGTGCTACTTTTACTGTAGCACTATGAGATGGGAATTAGAGAGGTGAGGAATTACATGCAACAAGGGTCTGACTTCAACTAAGGAACCTGTCGATCATAGTTAGCCTCAAAATTTCATCCAATACATTTTCTCTAACAAATCAAATAAACAAATTTGGTCTTAAACTGCTGACACTCACCTTTCATTTGATTAAGGTAATTACAAAACTCTGTCTCTCTCTGAGCACTGCTTGTTTGTGTCTATTTCTGAGGGCCATGCTTCACAATTGTCATGGAAACCAACATGTTTCTGCCTTATCTTAAATGTCTTCCCTCAAGTATTGAACTGATTTTTAAAAACGGTATATTGTTTTTATCATGAGCACTCCAGCTCCATTAAAGGTTCAAAGTTACACCAGGGCCACTGATCTACATTGACATTTGATTATTTATTCAGGCTATCAGGTCTACAGTGAGCACAGCTGGATTTTTCTAAGATTGCTTATAGAAGCGATCTTCACCATAACTGTGTATAGATTCAGCCACTATTATCTCATAAGTGGCACCATTTCATCCCTGGAGCCTGCTGCCATAAGAAAACATTTTCTCTCATTTTTTCACTGCCGCTTACAGTTTTGCATTCAATAAAACCAGATTAAGTTATCATGACTGCAAGCATTTGAACTCTATCAGCTTGTGAGATCATTTTTATTTACACTTCTGAGTTGCAGTCGCCTTTTAAAGTACATTGGCTCTTAAATGGCAATGTTTCTTCGGAATATCGAATCAGAAAATCAGACCTCCAGTAAAGCCTGTCCATCCTGAATTAGTCCACACCCTACACTCTGTACACTCAGCACAGAGATAAATCATCCAGGCCCTGGCTCTGGAGAGCGTCTAACCCCTGAGGGGATGGAGCTTTATAAGCGATGAGCATTAATGAGTGAAAAACAGACTCCAGTGAACCCTAACTTAGGGTCGAAGAAAGACAGGCGTGGACAAACAGGGCTGCTCTACCAGATCAGGACAAACAGCAACAGAGATAGCTGGTGGGGTAAGATGAAACAGATGTTGAGGGTCATCTAAAAAGGAAAAGCAAACACATCACACAACTATGAGCTTAGATATCCAGGCCTTTTCTGTTGAATTAAAACAGATATTTAATTTTTGGAGGTTATTTTAGTCAAGGTACATTTGTATAATTATGAGAAACTCATTTCATCCCACAGTTGACTCAGTCATCTTGTTCTCTCATGTTATTGGTTTTTAGTTATTCAATCAGCAGTGCGGATTTTCATAGGTTTTATTGAGCAGCTTGTTTTCTGTTGGTGATTAAAGGGCTGGCTCTCGTTGTGGCTATTGTCCTCGGTCATAAGAGGGATGCAAAATTTCAGAGTGAGTGGGTAAATCTTGACAATTGCACAAAGTAGAAGTTTCTGGATGAGAAACAGAGATGGAACGGGAACAAAAATCCAAGTGGGGCTTTTAGAGATGATTTATACTCTGCAAAAAATATGGTTTCATTTTTCTGCACTTTGCATTACTTTGTTCAAACTATTCAAAATGGATGATAATATGCCATTATTTCTTCATATACAGAGATACAACAGAGATGTCAGACTGAGGAGAGACAAGGATACTCCTAAAGTAAAATAAAAAGACACAATACAGTTGACATTATAAAAAATAACTTTGTGAGAATAAAAAAAAAAGGCAGACAAAAAAGGGGGTAAGATTTGTTGTAGTTGGTGACAAGAGAGCCAGCTCTCCACATCATGTTTGACAAGGGTACTGAGGAGTGCTCTGCTGGGTTGATAAGCTGCAGAGTGCCTCGCTTGAGGGTTTTAAGATAAAGAAATGTGTTGGTGGAGTGTTCCTGGATGATGAGAGACAGATAAGTTAGACAAGAGAGAGGAGATACGATAGCAAGTTGACAGGACCTGCACTTCGATGACGTGGCTACAAGCAAATCTCTGCCGTAGCAAGTTGAAAATGTCTGCCCAAACCGTGAGACCATAATAGTTGGCAGTTGTGACAAACATGTGGAGATTTTAAAGTTCATCCATTCATTATCAATACCCAGTGGGGTCACTGGGGGGGCGGATAATGGGCAATAAACAGGGCGCCATTCCATCGCAGGTCCATGCAGATACAACAACTACACACACTCGCATACACTCCTAGGGGCAAATTTACAGTGTTCAATTAACCTAACCTGCATCTTTTTGGATGGTGGGAGGAGGCCGGATGTGCCCAGAGGAAATATTAAGTTAAATCATTTTTATTCTGCAGTTATCTTGTTTTTCGATAATGAACCATATACAGTGGAAATGTCTTTTTCTAAAGAAAATCTCAGGTCAGGGGAAGATATTTTCTGTTGGTTTCAGATATTCTTTTTCCTTTTCAGTGTCTCACATTTGATACTATCTGAATTGAGTGATCACACACCCCCACAATGAAGTGAATGCTCAACTTTTGAGTCTTTCATTGTAGAGAGAAACCGCTTTAAATGTGCCTGCTGAGTCTAATATCGTCAATTATGAATGTAAACATTTGTATTCATTTAAAAACCTGCTTGGCGACTACTTCACATGTATGGCTCAAACCCAACTCATTTTTTTAAATTCACAGTGCAAATGACTGATGCAAGATCAGCCACAGGGTCCTTAGTTAAAAACTAACAGGTCTCAGAGGATTAAACTGCAAGCCATGACTGAGATCACAACACTTTGTGTGGGAGGGAGAATTACATTTGCCAAAAAAATGTTTTTGTTTTTGTATGAGCATTTAATATAAAATCCAGCGCTGAACAAAACTGATTCACCACTAAGACATTGTTGCATGTTTTTTCTAAATAAAGCTTTCTGTTCCTGTCATTTTGACAAATCTACGCTTCTCTTACCTGCAAACTATGTTTTGTGCAGTAGGCGGGAGGCTTATCAAATCGTTAAGATGTATGAAATTTTGGTGATGTGAGCTAAAATGCCCTGAGCATAATCTCTGATCTTTCCTGCATGTATCTCCATCACTGTCACCCTCCTTATTTAAAAAAAACAAGTACTTTGGTGTTGTATTGGAAACATTTCTTTATTTTTTGCTAGATTAAATGTTTGGCCTCATCACAAGTCAGCTTCTATTTTAATATGCTGCATAAAGAAAAACTTAAAACTAAATCCTTAGTTTACTTTTTGAATAGAAAATATTCATGAATTAGACAGAAGCTAATTTTACTCTGTTCTATTTGTAATTGCATGTTTTAAAAGATAAAAGATGTGCTTGAAATGATAGCATAGCTCAAGCACATTCTATTCCATTTTATTTTTAGACTTTATTTAACATAATGTTCGTATATCTCCTCTTCAGTTTCCACCTAGAGACTTAGTTATCACCATAGGGTGCATTTAGAGCTCACTCGCCCATCGTGGCTTATCTATGGAGGAGGCAGATAAGCACAGAGAGCTGCCAGGCCAGCAAGGATAAAGAGGCTCAGGTTGAAAGAGAGCCATGGAGTGAGGGCAGAACCCTTAGCCAGCAGGACAGCGTAGCATCTACAAATGTGTATGTGGAAACATCAAGCCTGTGCTTGCAGGTGAAACAGACTCTAACTCAACATGCGACAAAAGTGAGTTGCTGCCCGGCACAGCATGGCGGCATCATAGATACACTCCGTGGCCAGTGGCTGTTAGGATGAGATAGATAGAGTGATGTGGATCATGGATCACACTAAAAAGATAACATGTAAGAAATTTGAACTTTAAAAAATTCGAAAAAGTCCCAGAGAAATGGTTGATGTCGCTAAATTTTGTAAAGGAAAAAAAAGAAGGAAGGTTTACGTTTGTTCCACTTTGGGCTACCAGTGCAGGCAGTATTGTCCTGAAAAAGTGATTTATTAGTTAATAAGCTGGTACAGCTTAGTACAGAGGGTTAGGTGACCTTAGCGGTTCTGACTGTTTCAGATATACAGGCTAGCTGATTGCATTGTGCTGATTCTCATTTCTGCTGCAGGTAAAGTACGCAATATCGAGTGGCCACCTGATGAATTTAGGCTGCCCTTCCTGATGTCCTTCTTCCTCTGTCTGTGCCCTCTTCTTCTGTTCCTCTCTTTTAATCTTTTTGTTTATCGTTTGGTCTTTTCCACCCCTGACACATCTCTAATTTATTTTTGGCCCTTTTCTTAATCCATGTCACCTCTCCCTCCATCTTTATTTTTTCTATCTCCTCTTCCTCATATCTAACGATTGCCCTTCTGCTTTGCTTCCAGCATAAGCGCCACGTCCAGACAACGACCAAGTATGTGGAGCTTATCATTGTGGCTGACAACAGAGAGGTAAGCTCAGGTCACGCCGTCTCAACCCCTGCGGCTTTCTGCCCAATCTCACGGCAAAGACGCTCACAGGTCAAATGCTAAACCGCCCTTTTCCCCCTCGAGACGTAGATAAGACGGCTCCATCATGTCTTTGTTGTCACCGCTCGCGTGTCCACTTACTCATCTGTTTGCCTCTTTGCTTCTCCATCCATCTGCATTCATCATAGGACCACTCCACTCTCAAATGAGACTTCATGCGCTCTCTGAATCCATCAAATCAGAGGCTTAAGATCTTAAAGAGCGCTACGAGAACAAACGATTCCTTACTGTTATGAGACATAGAGGTCAACATCACATGACTTACAGTCACAGAGTTAAAGGCTGGATATATGAGAAGGTGGTAGAGGTTATCGCTTAAGCCTATAAGCTCCACTCAGGAGCTCTTTGATGATAACAGCTGCAGCAGAAGCACTCGCAGGATTCAATTGACAGCAATTGTTGTGGAGGACATTTGTTTCAGTGAAACATTGCATGTCCCAAATTCTGTCAAGAGAACAGACCTCGTCATTTTCTCTATAATTCAAGCTGTCTGTTTGTGTTGTTCAGTTTCAGAAACAGGGCAAAGACTTGGAGAAGGTCAAGCAACGGCTGGCTGAGATCGCCAATTACGTGGACAAGGTAACAATTGGACGAAATGAGCTAATACGCAGTGATGGAATGTGACTTATTAAAGGTTGCATCAAGCTTAGGGAGAATGATCCAATCTGAGTGCAGAGGCTGATTGAATTATGAATAGAAGATCAATTTCAGAACTTGCCTGAGACATGTTTTAAAGAAGCCGGAGCAACAGATCGTGCAGTGGGTGTCAGTTTGATAACATAAGGGCAAAAGATGATTTATTCATGTGGGAGATGGTATGCTTAAGCACCTCAGAGCTCATAGTCAATTTAAGTGACTGCTTTAGAAGAGTTTGGACTACAATAGGTGGCGATAGCAAAAGAAAGAGACAGCTCTGAGCCTGAAGCCACGTGTCTCTCACTACCTCCTCCTAATCTTCCACCCAACTCTCAGTTTTACAGGGCTTTGAATATCAGAGTAGCACTAGTGGGTCTGGAGGTGTGGAGTGATGTGGATAAGTGTCCCATTACTCAGGATCCCTTCACCACCTTGCACGAGTTTCTGGACTGGAGAAAGGTCAAGCTGTTACCCAAGAAGCCACACGACAACGCCCAGCTAATCAGGTAGATATAAAATGTTAAAGGAAATGAGGACACGTTCACTGGTATGTGTTTTTGTAGATTTGGGAAATTATCAAAGTCAACTACATAGTATTTCTCGGAGTGGTTTTTATTTCCTCCCTGACATAATATACTATAATATGTATGGACAAACCCCCAAAGGGAAGTCCATTTGGAAGGCCAAACTTTCTGGCTCAGCTTTTTAATACCAGATCTGGAAAACTTTAATAGAGCTGGGCCTTGATAGGTATCAGGAATGGAACTGACACAGATCCAATTGATACCATTAATATCAGGAAACTCCAAAACCTTCGATGTTACAAACAAATGAGACCTGAATACTGGCGACTGCTGGCTCGTTGAAGGTGTGATAATGGACAACAAATCTGAGAAAGGAAAGAAATTTGATCTTTGACTTGTGTGAGACATTCAAAAATATGTCTTCCCCTGAATGATTAGATCATTTGCAGAATATTCGTGTGGCAACTTTAGTCAGAGACACCTCTAACATGTTAACATGTTTGAAAATAATTCCAACAATAAATATATATCAATCTTAGAAAGAGATTTCTTCCTCTATGCTACAGTTATTGGTGATTGGATCTTTGATACCAGCCTGAGCTCATGTTGTTTGTGAACGGTAATGCAGCCACTGTGTTCTCCCTTTTAGTGGAGTGTATTTCCAGGGTACCACTATTGGAATGGCACCCATCATGAGTATGTGCACAGCCGAGCAATCAGGAGGAATTGTCATGGTATGTAAATGCACTACAAAATTAACAGATGCTTAAGAGTCTCTTCTCCCTCTCCCCCTCCCCCTTGGTCTGTTCGCTTTGTTATTTACATTCCTCCTTTCTGAGAAAGCATCTTGAGTCTAAGGTGAGAAAAATATTGTGGAGGTGATATTAATTTGTGCTCACTTTTGGGGGAAAACAGCTTACTAAGTCTTTTTCCAAGAAAGCCAAGTGATTATAGACAGAGTATGTATACTCCCCTCCAGTTTGTGCTGATACATCAGAGTATATCAATGCTGGAAGTGGAAAGGTTTGGTTTTTAATGAGGTGCAATGAACTGTTAATTTAAAGCCGGCCTGTGTTTGGGGTGAAAAAGCAACAGTTTGACAGAAATGATAACCCAAAGCATAATCACTGCATTGGGTCTTCAAACCGTGTCACATCAGAACAAATCCCAATCTTTTTTTTTACTTTTCTTTAAATGTGTGCTTCTAGTGCCTGGGTGTGCATATTGTCCACAGATTTCTCTTCACATTTATCCACCGAAACTGAAATAAAAATCTCTACATTCCAGAAAAAAACGGTAAAAATCACATCCATGTTGTTTAAGCTGTGTCCCTTCATTTAGTTGTTAGTCAGGCTCTCCCTGTGAGTCTATTCTCTTTGGCAGTTGAATCTTAAACATTCATCCTCAGACATCTGGAATCTCCATGTACCAGCTGTAATTGTTACATTAACTGATGTAGTGGAAAGCACCGGCAGTTGCATGAAATGCCCTCTTGAGCTCTCCAGCTTCATCTGTTGTGTCTGTGTTTTTCCTGGAAACATAAGCGCTTTTTTTTTCTTTTCCTTTTCATGAAAACCAGCTATTCAGTCCGGACTGCAGAGCTGACAGCTGATTTCTGTTACTTTTCTAAAGCCCCCCTGCAGAGCAGTCCGTCAGTCTGAGCCTGACTCACAAAGAACTACTGAATAATGTACAGTGTCGGACAATTCCAGAGGCAAGGTGCTCTGGCACGCAGCTCTGCATCCACGAAGAGCTGATAGCTCCTACTGCACCTACATTATTTATCCAGCCTCTTTGTGCGTTCACGTTTCCCACACCTTTGCAGTTCGTTCTAGCTTCACCGTTGCAACGTCTTCTCTAATGCTGCCTGAATTCTACATTTTTTTTTCCCAAATGATTTTCAACTTGTCATTTGAAAGGTATTCTTTGTCTTTAGCTGCCAGTTTTGCTCAGAGCATGTCTTCATTTGTGAGGATGGAGCAGCACATCTGGCTCCATTGGAGTTTTTTTAAAGAAAGCTGAAGGTGACAGCACACAGTCTGCTTGTGCTTCTCATTTCAGCGCCACAATGCGGAGCGGAAGAAACGCTCTGATAAGCACACATCTGACTGAATTGTTTGCTTAATCTTGGCAGTGTGTAATTACACTAGCTCGCTTTGAGTCATGTTTCTCCAGTGAGTCCTACAAGGAGCCGCAATTTGGCTCGTATTGAATTTTTCATTATTTCATGTTTTCCTCAGAGCATGTTACCAACATCATCTGTTCCTAATTAACTATTTGTATTGTTGCTGCAAGAAAACTGCAAACTGAACAAATTGGATTATTGGACATTGCTTATGCCCAGCTTTGAAATGTGCGGATGAATCTGACTCATATGATAACAACTGTAGGGTAAAAAGTGGTGAGGTTTAATGGCACACTCAGTGTTTTTGACTGATCTGTTTATAGGACCATTCGGACAATCCCCTGGGTGCTGCAGTCACTCTGGCCCATGAACTTGGACACAACTTCGGAATGAACCATGACACCCCAGAAAGAGGGTGCGGCTGCAGAGTAACTGTGGATCGGGGAGGATGCATCATGACTCCCTCCACAGGGTGAGTCAGAGCAGTTTTACAATCAAAAGCCAATAGTTCTACAGGATAAATGGCTCCCAACTCATTGCACTGTTCAATATTTTTCTGTTGTTTTCACATATACATCCAACTAAGAAAAATACATCATCATGTCCCTCAGAAAAACAGATATTGATCTTGGGTAAACATCATCCACATGCTCGCTTTTTGTGATTTATTATCTGTTGAACAGCAAGCAAATGAAGCCATTTCATTGTTGGTCCATTGAGTTTATGGCAGATTCAACAGCTGTGCTTATACCCTGAGGCAACATGACTCACTCTGAATGGGAAGTCAATGGTTCATTTGCAGTGCATGGTCCACACCACTCAGTTTAACTAGATTATTCCCCAGCAGAGTAAAGATAACCGTGTATTGCTGTCATACAACAAAAACACAATGCTGTTTATGTCTATACAATAGCATTCCATTGATTAATACATCAAAACTAACTCGTAGTCGATCAAAAGAAAAATGTATCCACAGCGTCCCACATCTTGTAGTTTGGAATACTTTGGGATGTTCTGGGTGGAAACACTCGAGTATCCATTCCAGCCAAGGTCTGCGGGTGTGTGGGAGCCATCGACCGGTGTTTATGCTGGAAACATGTCTCTGTATTTGATTTGGACCAGACCCACAAAAAGCACGGTAACACTACTCTCAATTATAGACTTGGAAAACAACACGCTGCTATGAGGTTTACAGATTTATATTTAACCCTGACTGAGGGTATCCCTGGGCATGGACTTTGCCAAAAATGGCAACACAATGAATACATAAAAGAAAAATGGACTTGTCCGTCCATTCCTCTCCCACTCTGTTTGACTCTACCCTTTTCACAGACAGTAAGAGTGAAGCTATTATTTGATGTACATGCAACTTTAATCTTCAATAAATAGTTAAGAACCCCTGAAAACTCTCAGTCTCCACGAACGGAAAACATTTGAGAGGTGAAAACATTTCACCTCTCTGTTTAACTTTCAGGCAATGTCCCATTTCACAAACGCACCTTGCTTTTTGCATCTTAGTTGACTAATTAGCTTGTCATGTCTTTGGCTTCAAAATAGCATCATTTGTTCCCTATCTGACTACGCTGACCTGGCTGTGACTTCAGGAATTAAACAAAGTTCATCCTGACATCCTTACACTTGGGTGGGGTGTTAAGGGCAGTTGATGGGGGTGCAGTAAAATTGCAGGTTTGCCCTGTGCCGACAGCTTATCTGCACAGAGCACAGCTTGTTTCCTGTTCACACTGGTCACGGCCAATTTTTGTGTCCCCCTTCTTTCCATCCTACTCTCCACCCCCCTATTAGCTCAAAATGAGAACAGGCTGGCGATTCTCATCCTTTGAGATTACATCTCTTGAAAGCAGACACACATCAGCACATGGAAATCAGATGGGCTCCTCATGGCCTCTGCGTGGACACAGTAACACACATCTGTGCACAAACATACACACAAGAAATGTGTCTCTCAGAAAGACTAATGCAGGAACTCCATATGTTTTTGTGCTTGCTCCACTCCCCTTCTGTTCCAATTCATTTTGTCTCTTCTCCTGGTTTGATAATCTGACTTAAGCTTTTTTTATTTTAACTCCAGTATTGGGTTCCTTTTGAGATAGCAAGGAACCTTTTTTTATCATTAAGATAGTTTATGATGACAAAATTGACTGAAACAGTCTTCCTGAAGAAGTGATACAGGCCTCAACTCTGACAATCTTTAAATCCAGGCTGAAATTATTTCTATTTCGCTGTGCATATGCCAATTGAAGGTGGTTTGTATCTGCACTCTTCACTTTTAATCTTTAATTTATTTAGTCAATTATTTGAACCAGTTTTATTTATCTTTTTAACATGTTCTTAATTTCTGCCTTTAACTGTCACTTTTAATGGAATGTTCTTCTTTAGTCTTTTGTGTAAAGCACCTTTTCTTTTGAGGAAGTTAACCAGACTTTCGTGGGATGAGTGGTTGTCCACAGTGTCTTAATTTGCCTTAAGCTCCAGATGTGCCAACCTTAACTGGAGCTGGAAGTGTTTTACTGGCCCTTGGGACTGCAGCTGCTAAATGCCATCCAGCACAATTCATTGGTGCCGCTGCTTTTTCGGAGCCATTATTCACCCTCCCTCCCCCAGACTGTTGCTGGGTAGACCAATTATTTCAGTATTGGTGCTCATAAAGAACAGCTGGATCTCCGAGCCAGTCGTGTATTTCAGGGTAACTTTAAAAAAAGGAAAAACAAGGATGTGACTGTTTGTCATGCATTACATGGCTTTTAATTGAAGACCGGGGCTGAGTTCATGGAAATTGAATGATTACTGCAAGAAGGGGGGCACAACTTGAGCAAGCAATTTTTGGCTCCAGTTTTCAGGGCAAAAAGGAAATCAACAACAGAAGTTGCTAAGGAGGTGGCCTTCCTGTTGAACAGCAACCATGACAGCTGTTCATCAGAGAGACGACGAGGGGGAGTAAGAAAAATCCTGCTGTTGTTACAGCTTTCCTTAGTGCTCTTCTTTTCCTTTTTAATTACAAATAAAAAAAATTCCAAATACACTCTGATCTTTAGCTTCAATCCAGGAAATCTGAAGATCTACTTTAGGGTAACTGACTTTGGCCTCAAATAACCTAACTCCTGGGTGGGGCATGGGGGAGGGGATTCTGCAGAAAGAGTTGAGGTAAACTGCCTAAACACATCAGAGGAAGGCCAAAGATGAGGTCATGTCATAACATTCACAGTATCGTGACATATTTAAGTCTGTATTAGATGTGGAAAACCCCACCAGAGAAAACACTGTTTGAAAGGGCTGGCATGCTTCTTTAAAATCAGGAAAATCCAAAGAGCTTTCTTTTCAAACATCTTTCATATCAATGCACTGTATGGGTTGGGGGTCAAACTCACAGCAGTGTTACCACATCAAAACTATTCATTTGTACATTGACAGTTATGGGGGCGTCAAAGATTGTTGCAGAGATTGGTGACATTATTGTAGTCTCCTTCCTTATTAGACATGTGTCATCCAGGCATCTTACCAATCAGAATAACAGCCACTCACTGAAGATCTCCATTAAAAATTTGGCAGCAGATCTTTTGAGACTTGTGGGGTTTGCACGGTGGGACTGCCAATAGAAGAAGCTTGCTCTAGCACATCTCTAATGAATACAAAATTTGGAATTAGAAGTGTGGAGTTAGGAGGAACTATGACACACACACACACGCTTTATTTTTGTTTGTTTGTTCTTTTATTGTGGATTTCGTATTTACTGCAATAACACTGAAATAGCTATTTTTTTCACCTCAGAGTTTGAGGGGAGCTGAACTGATTTATGGATGTGAAGCTATAGCTAATCACTGACTTGATAGAAAAATCAAATTTAACAACAAAGGACATGCACCAGGGCATGACAAAAGAGCGAGAAAAGCAAACCTACAGACATCAGCTCTTTCCTTGTTCTAAGGAGGTGGTTTAATCCAGGCTGGAAGCTTGGAAATCCACTTCATTTTCAGCATCAGACATACAAACAAAACATTGTGTCAGGCTGATGGATTTACAACAAATGCACACAAATAAATCCATAACACACTCTTTGAAGAACATTCAAGTCAACCTTTTAGACTTAAAAGAGTTTTCCAGACTATGGAGTTTCAAGTTTATATGCAGGGCTGACCAACAGAAACCTTAATTGACAGTTTTCCCTGCACAATAAGGCTTCATTAAATACAGAAAGCAGTTGTTTACATATAGTTTTTCCATTCACAGATATTTAAAGTGATATTGTTGTTAGTGAAGAAGCATTGCAGATGTATATATATAAAAAACATATCATGAACCATAAAAACAATACATGCTCACCTCCATTAATTTTATGACAAAAAAAAAGATACATTTCATATAGAAATTGTAAATCAAAGCAAGTAAAGGTTTACAAAGCTCCTGAAAGTGCCTTTTCATTATGTTGCCTGTCATACAGAAGCAGGGTATGGTGTAGATGCTGTTGATACATGCATGCTCAACTTGTTTGATATCCCCACCGCAACAGTTAGAAATGCCTCTCCTGTCATAGAAAAAGTGTCGCTGACCTACACAAAGTATAAAAATAAACCACTGGAGCCTTCATGTCCAAACAAGCTAGTGGGTGGCAGAGTTAGTACAGATGTGGAGGCATGATCGATGGCATGCTTCACAACGTACATTTAAAAAATTCAAGGGCTCTTCATAACGGCCGCTGAAAGCTCCGACCTGAACGCTCCACTTACTGTCACTTATCTGCGCGCAAAGAAAAGCACGGATATAAGTGGGAAGATAACACACAGATGCCCCTCTTTCTGGCCTCATGTTGAATTTTACAGCATTGATGGCGATATTAAAAATCTCATACGGTGCTTTTGTATGGACAGCAATAAGGGGCTAGATAGAATCTACACACTTCGTGCACGTTTTACACACACTCTTACATCTAAGGCGCTCTATTATCACAGAAAAGCTCAACAAAGCCACATGCTCTTTAACAAAGCTTTTGGCAGACAAAGCTTTGGGGCTGTGTGCTCTCCCTGCAGAACAGACCACCCCCTCTGTCTGTTCCAAAAAATATATGAAAAACACACAGTCCCCATTCGCCAAAATTTATGGGTGTTGCAAGCCTTGCGAAGGAAGCACTTTTCAGGTTGAACTTTAACGATACCCTGTCTCATAAAATCCGAGGAATCATATCTCCCTATCTCCATGTGGAGGAAAATCACGGGGACTCCAAACTGTTTGCATGCCGATGGAGCTTTAGAGAGCCTCACTGGTTCGTTGATTTTTTTTTTTTCCCTGATTAGCAGCAATTATCACTGATTACATCAGCCTGAGGAGGGCCCTTTTGGTCGACCTCTGTCTAATTCCTCCTTTGCTCTCTGTGTCACTCACTAAATATGTCTCTCGTTTGCAGGTATCCCTTTCCTACAGTATTCAGCAGCTGCAGCAAGAAGGACCTTACAGCTAGTTTTGAAAAAGGAGTTGGAATGTGTCTGTTCAACATGCCCGAGGTTAAAGTGTTATACGGTGGGCAGAAATGTGGCAATGGCTATGTGGAGGAGGGAGAGGAGTGTGACTGCGGAGAACTGGAGGTGAGGCTGCTGTAGGTCACCGTAAACAAAGTCTTTTTTTTATCTCCAGACCTCCCACAACTTCGGTAAAAATCTGATTTTCGGTGCTCGTAAATCATTGTTAATTATGTTTCCCACATTTTAGGGATACAAAATTAGTCAGAGCTCTCTGCAGCTCCTCAGGCGATGTTACGACACCAGTCAGCATCTGTAAAAGTGAGAATAAACTGTTTCCAATCCAACGGCAAAGGAGTTCTGTAAACACATCCTTATGAAAATGGATTCAGCATTCTGTGTGGGAATGTATTCCATCGGTGCACCGAAGAGGTGTTTGGGGGTGTTTGTTTCACTGTGATAGATGTCACTTAGAGGAAGCACAGCTGACAGTTTCCCCCATGTCAGCTAATGAATTGTTAAGGTGAATCCGCAGTGGCATCCTCATACGTCAGATTTAACGGCGCCACACATTGCTTACTTTTCCGACTGCAGGATGAATAAGCAGTTAATCATGATGCAGCTGACAATTAGCACAGGCTGGCACATGAAGGAGACATCTTCCCAGTTTTGGAAAGATGCTTTGAGTTGCATAACAGCCCAAATGAGAGAATGCCTTGTTGTCTTTTGTGGTTTGTTTATACCTTTTATTTTTTGTGGGCACTGAGGCTTCAGGGTCAAGCGGAAAGTGGCCTCGTCCCTCAAAACAAAGAGCTAGCATAAGCTCCCGGGCTCGAGCCAGCAGCAATAATCAAGCTCTCCGCAGAGTTTAGCAGCATTATGCCAAACCAGGCCAGATCAGACTGCTCAGACAGCATCTCTCCTCGCCATTAAAAGCCTCATTAAAAAGTGTGGGTCCTATTCCTCACAGTCACAGGCTACTTCTTTTCAGCAGTCCTCCACTGCCTCCTTTGGCCCCTGGGACCATGGGAAAGGCCCTTAATGGTTTTCAGTGCGATAGAAGTTCTGGAAGGCCCCGCATGTCAGCCGTGTCCCCTGCCAGCTCCATCCTTCTACTTATCCCCGACTCTTACTGCACTCAACTGTACACTATATTCCGACTTTAAAGGCAGAAGGGAAAGAGCTGAGGCCTCGCGGGTCCAGTCAACCTGCCTCTGTGTGAGATCATACAATTAAGTGCAAAATTATTCATGCCTCTGCCAACATTTGATTTACAATGGCTTTTTATTGACCCATAAGTTTCCTTTGGCTGGAAATGACATTAACACATGACGAAAGAGGTTAAGATGTTACATTACAGGTGTTTTCTATTTCTCTGTTTTTTGGGGGGCTTTTTTCGTTCATTTTCACTGAAATTAATGTATAATTATTCATGCCCAATCTTAGTAATGAGTGGCAAAGCCTTTATTTGGCATCACCACAATCAAATATTTCTCTTAACTGCCAACTAGTTTTTTGCATTTCTCCACTGGGATTCTGGTACATTCCTCTTTCATAATCATATTCATGTCTTTAAAGCTGGAAGAAGTCATTTCACTTTGGGCTTTAGTTCCCTCCACAGATTTTGGAGGGAATTCAGGTTCTGAGCAGCTATAAAATGCTAATCTTGCTCTCAGTACATTCTTTGACCATGTTTTGGAAGAGTGTCTCTTTATATGGTATGATATAGATGATTCAGAAATATCCCAAGATGTTATATTCCTGTTTACATCTTTATTTAAAGTAAATGCTAAAAGTGTCTAAAAGTTTCCAAGCTTTTGTATTTATCTTTTTTTTCACAGCGTTGCTTCAGGTAAAATATTTAGTCTGATTTTTTATTCAAGTAAACTAAAACAAGTCTGGAAGCTTGTCATACTAATAATCCAAACCACTATCAAGATCAAGGAGAAAACAACAAACTGAATGAATTATCTTGCATTAATTTAAAAAAAAAAGTGCCATAATTTGAATGGATAAAAAATGTTTATTCCTTCAACATGTCGAGTTTCATTCCTTCACTGTCACTCTCTCATTTTTATTTACGGATAGTGTCTGAAGTGGTGCCTTGACTTTTAAACTTGCTTTAAAAAGTATCCAGCTCACTACATTGCAAGTTAATATTACCAGAAATAGTTTTGTTTATCAAAAGGTGTTTCTGGGCCATTTCCATTTTTTCTCTCTCTTAATTCTACTGTATCTTTTCCATACAGTTTATTTTTTCAGTGTTTTTCAATCCAGTCACATGGAAACATTTTTATAGAACTAGAACATGCTGTTTCCTGTCGTGTGCCAGGTATTATTAGATGCTACAGAACCCAGTGCTGGCAGGGCTGCTCCTTCTGTGATAAGAAAGTCTGAGCTTTTTGCTCCGAGGTTAATTACGATCTCTACGCTGCATAGTTAATTTTGCAGTAATTTTACTTTTCACTTGTTACATCTCCTTCTTCTGTTTGCCTCCTTTTCCAATCTTTTTTGCGTCGAAAGGAATGCATGAATCCCTGCTGCAATGCAACCACCTGCACTTTGAAGGGAGACGCTGTCTGTGCACATGGGCACTGTTGCCAGGACTGTCAGGTAAAATGGGTCCTGGTTTTCTATTTTTACTGGCATTTCGATACTTCTGACTGATTCTGATTCAGCCCCTACGAGTGTGAATTTGAACTCTTTTTTTTCGTCTTGGGTTGTCTACATTTGTGTACAGCTGAAGCCGGCGGGGACTCCTTGTCGTGAGTCCAGTAACTCCTGTGATCTGCCTGAGTTTTGCACCGGTACCAGCCCCCACTGCCCCTCTAACGTCTACCTTCACGACGGCCACTCCTGCCAAAATGTCGACGGCTACTGTTATAACGGCATATGCCAGACCCATGAGCAACAGTGTATAACGCTGTGGGGCCAAGGTGGGCGAAAGGCCTTCTGACCGGCCCACTTTGACCGTGAACTGTTTGTAAATTGTGACAAGCTGTTGAAGATGTTTTACCGTCTCTTGAAGGAGCCAAGGCAGCTCCGGGCATCTGCTTTGAGAGGGTCAACTCAGCAGGAGACCCGTATGGAAATTGTGGCAAGGATTCGAAAGGCTCTTTTGCCAAATGCGAAGTGAGGTACGAGCTGATGTTCCCATAGAAACCAATGAGGAGAGAACATTGTACTGACCATAAATATATTGTTCTTTGCATGAGCGTGTCACGTCATAGCAGGCCTTTTTTCACCGTGCAGGAAAAAAAAACATCTGTCACTTTTATAAATGGAAGTGATTATTAGTTACAGCCCTAATTATGGGATACAAAGCCTTTTTGTCCAATGCAGCAGGATGTATCTCTGAAATAGCTCAGACCCTAATCTTAAAAACATCACAAAAGAAGCTGTTAGATCTGCTTAATTGGACGGCAGAGCAGAGAGTAAAAAATAACAGTACAGGTAACTTATATCAGGAGAGACAGGAACATGTAATCCAGTTATTGAATTGTGTTTTTTCTGCTTCTTGCTTGCCACATACACAGAGATGCTAAATGTGGCAAAATCCAGTGTCAAGGAGGAGCCAACCGCCCAGTAATTGGCACCAACGCTGTTTCCATAGAAACAAACATACCCCTGCAGGAAGGGGGAAGGTTACTGTGCCGGGGTACACATGTCTACTTGGGTGATGACATGCCGGATCCTGGCCTCGTGCTAATGGGGACCAAGTGTGGAGATGGGATGGTAAGATATTAGGTTTCTCTTGTTTACAGAGAATACCAACAGTTTTCAGACACTTTGAGAGAGAGTACTGTATTTTGTGAAGCCTATTTTTTTTTATATTTGTCAATGATTATAACATGAAATGTGATCTGATTTCGAGAGGTCATTAAATGAGAACAAAGTCCAACAAACTGAAATGATAAATTGAATATATTCAGCCATTCCTACACGCCACTGAGCAACTAAGATTAGAATTGTGTTTGATATGAAATCAGAGGTTAGGTTTTTCTCTCAAAGGAGAGACATCTCTTAGTGGATAAAAGCAGAAATCTGTCAAAGTCTGATCCGTGCAACATACTTGAGGAAGTGCAATATGTTAATGTTACATAGGAATTGTGTCATTCGTATCTGGGAATCAAAGAACCAGGGTTAAAATATCTAATCTAACTAATCTAATCGTCAACCCAATGTTCCATTAAAACCACTGAACAATTCAACCAAGTACATACAAAAGTTTCTATTGAAAACATGAATTATTCAAAGTGACAGTCTTTTTTTCTCTGACTTCCCCTTTAGCAAAACGTATTTGTAGGACTGTGTGAAAAGAATATACTGTTAATGAATTAACTTTTTGTTAAGAATTTGAGTGGAGTAAGTAGTTTGATGAGTTTTCCAAGTTATTAGCAGTTTGCCATCCAATGGCTTCTTGTCATTTTGAACTTACACTAACCTACATATTTAATCTACTCAAAATTATTCAGTCTGTTTGGCATCTCCTAGCAGTGGTCACTTTAGCCACTGGTCACTTCAATGATTCAGTTTATTCATTTAGTCTAATTTACTTCACTGTACACCTCCACCCATTCGGAGCCTCTGCCCTTCAGGGCTTTACCATTACTTTGTATGCCAACTACAGCTCATACATAGGCAGGATATCTTTGGGTGTGGTGCCCTCAAGGAGTTGTACCATAACTCTCAAAGAATTAGCTTTGACATATTCCTTAGAAGTCCCAGTGGTAATGGAATTATACATAATATTAATCTAATTTAAAATCGGAGTGGTGTGTCAGTGGAAAATTAAGAGGAATAGCAAGCAGGATATGTTTGTTTCTTCTCCTTGAAAATGAAATTAGACTGTCACTGACTCTCTATCTGAGCTCACACTGTGTTTTCATCTCGCTGGTTTTAATGTTTTTGTCTGCTTCAGATGTGTCTCAATCGTCAGTGCCAGAATGTCAGTGTTTTTGGGGTGCACGAGTGTGCCGCCAAGTGCAGTGGCAGAGGGGTGAGTGCAGCATCTTTCATCCAGTTTCAGTGTTGCAAAGAATCATTGTAGCAGCTCTCTATTTCAGCATTCCCACGCCCAATTCTTTCCATACAGAATCCTGTTTAAGCCCTGTGTACATCTGCTAGGGAGTCACTATGGTACCTTGCAATCAATCACCGTGAACGCTGAAAGGTTCAATCAATTAGATATAATGATCTCATTTAAGTCCACCTTTGAGTGCCATCCATCATAATCTCAGACCGCTGTCCTCGTCTTAAAAACTGTGTTGAAATGTGCCGGCGGGGTTCTGTTTAGCGAAATGCTGCCAGTAATGGCGTCCAGTTTGACTTCCAGCCAGGTAGCACGTATATGGATTTTCGATTGAGTCCATTCAATAAAAGATATTATGACTATAATGCCTGCATGGATTGCCCTAGTTGAGTTGGATGATGTGACTTTGTGGTGATTCAGTCAAAGGTCCGAAAGGTTTTGGCTGTGACTTGTTCACTCGTTCCCGCAAAAACTGAGGAAACACTTTGTATCTGCATCCTATTGTGTCATATTTGTTTTTGTATAAAAAAACAGAGGAATGTTTTACTCAGTAAAACAAAAGGATGTGGGTCTTCCAGGAGACAGGCAATCCCTGCAAAAAGAAATTAGATCAAGATGTTGCCCTTAAGAGAGCCCATCACCTGTTTTATATTACCTAGAATCCTCCTTCTTGGTCTTTCCTACATTTTGAGACAGTGAGAATATGATAATGTGGTGTTAAGGAAATTTTCTTTATTCACAAGGCACAAATTGAGCCATGAGTATTTATGAAAAAGTGAAGAACTGAAAATATCAATATCTGTGGCAGCTTATCTTAAACATTCATATGATGGATGTACTTATATCACTATAAGAATGGTTACTTGAGTTTCACCTTTAAATAAGTGACTCTTGTGAAAGTTGAGAAGCATTTGTCACCACTTTTTTTTTTACATTGTTGGATTAAGTACGAATTGATTGGGGAAATCATTATTAGTTGCAACTTGAGTAAATTCACTCGAGTCTGCATCCCATTTCAAAATCTTCTTTTCTCCCTAAGCGTTTGTCACTTGCACATATTCAAACTGAGCATGAAATAGATAAGATGGCGGAAGGAGGAGCTTATCAAATAATCAGTTGCCCTTTTTATATTCTGCAGGTGTGCAACAGCAACAGAAACTGTCACTGTGAGGCGCACTGGGCACCTCCCTTCTGCGACAAGGCAGGTTTTGGTGGGAGTGTGGATAGTGGCCCCATCAGACTTGCAGGTAAGGAAGCAAATCAGTTGCAATTAATGGCTGAGTTGTTGCAATTTTGTCTGGGTAATGTTATATGCCTCAGTCATGGAATGTCTGACCTCACCAGTTGGCCTGAGCATTAAAACCACTTGCTTAATATTGTGTAGAACCACTCTATTTAACTCTTTAACCCCTGGGGTCATTTTGTATTTCACCTGGACAGAACATGTAATTAAACACATATTCCTTACCTTTAGGAGCAGGCTAAAGAGAAGCACCAAATCTGCAGAAAAACAAACCAAGTTAGACTATATAAAGGTAACAAAGAGGGGACTTTTCACATTGTTTCCGTTTGAATGTGTGAGCAGACAGCCGAAATCTGACAGTGGGCATCCTGGTGGCTCTCCTCACCGTGCTGGGAGCTGCTCTGGTCATCTGCATCAAGAGGAAAACTTTGTTTGGTCTAATGTTCACGAATAAGAAGAGCCCAATCGAGAAGCTCAGGTGATGATTAGATCATTTATTAATGCGGTATGTTTTCTTTTACATGCAGCAAGGTTAATAGATAGTGAACTACAGCTAAGGGGCTCTGCTCTCATCACTGGTCACAGCGTAAAACGAATTATCATGCTGAATTTGGAAACTGTCGTATGATTAGCATGATAAAGTATTTGATTAGAGATAAAGAATTTTCTTCTTTTACAGATCAGAAAGCGCCGCAATCAGCGGCCCATCGGCTCCTAACCAGTCTCCCTCGGCCAGCTCAGCGTCTCCGTCCCGTCCAGCCCCGCCTGTGACACACAGCGCCACCATCTTTAAGGTCAGCGTGGCAGATCGCACGTCTGCGTTTGACAAGATGCATAAAAAGCTCTCTCTATTTTTCAAATAGCCTAAACATTCACACAGCGTCTGACCCAAACAAACGAAGAATCGGCGACAGCCGTCGGTACAGCCGTTCACACGAGTCCCTCTCAGCTGGATTGACGTTTTGTTGTCAGACAAATGGCAGCTCATTCAAATCCAATTAAATCATCCCTGCGAGTGTGGATGCGAAGAGGGGGCAGCGCAAATGGAATCTGTGCTGAGCGGTTTGTTCAGGATCCTTGACGGTATTTCTCGACATTAACAGCTGTCGGGAGAGAAGCTGATTTGTCTCCGCACTTCTCGTGAAATCATTTCAGATGCAGCTTCTTACTTGACACCGTGAAGCCATTTTGTTGCTCATAATTGAAAGACAGAGATTACATTTTTCTTGTAATGAATTCTGTACCGCGATTTCTGTAGATTTCAGCCACTCTATTACTGCCCTGACACAGCTTCTCACAGGAGATTCATTTAGAGTTGCTGAAGGATAACAAAAAACTGTGTCAGTGGAGACGATGGCACAGGAGGGACGCAAGCTGATGTGCGTTAGCGGGAGTTGGTGTTTTCGGTCAGCATGTGGTTTTCATTTGGTACGAGGCGAAAAGGATGTAAGGCTGTTTGATGTAAGCACAGAGCAGGTGAGGTCATTTTCCAGTTGTCAGGAGCCGTGCAAAACTGCCACACGAGAGCGTGTGTGTGCGCTTTTGTAGCTCAGACTGTGTTTCTTTGCAGTTTTCCACATCTGGGCAGGTCTGACTAGGAGGCAGGATCATATTTTGGCTCACCTCAATGTTGAATGACTCTCAGCGGGAGTGCGTGTGGTCTGCGTAACTGTGTCCATTTCAGAATTAGGCCAAACAGGGGCTGATGGGACAGGTTCTGATCTTTGATACGTTTCCCAAAGAGGGACTTGCGCAGCGAAGTGGGGTTGATTGATTTCTTCATCTTTGACAGCATCAGGAAGAGTTTAACATCGACTGTTTTCTGACAGGGAGCAGGCGGTTTATCGTCTGACCCGACTTTTGTGTTTTCTGACTTTCATATTTTTTTGCAGTCTCCGTACCGGGGGCCGGAGACGGGGCTTCCCCCGGCACCCTGCCCTTCCCACAGCCTGCGCAAAATCCCCCAGTGCCCGCCGGTCCACCTCAGCCACCCAGTCCCCCTGTCCCTCACCCTGTCCATCTCCCCCGGGCCCAGGCAGCCCCGGCCCCCAGCGCCCCCCCCTCACCGGGCCCCCCCGCCCCACATCCACGTGGCACCCAGGGGGGCATCTTTTCGCAGCGCGTCGCATCACAACTCTTGCAGGATGGTCACGGTGAGCGAATTTTTTTTCCCTCTTTCTGCAGCCGGAAACATTTTGTTGATGATGTCACTCGCTGTAATTTCGGCGGCTGTGTCTGGAGAGCTTTTACTGCAGCCGGTAATACTTGAGCAGGAAAAATTATGTTTGCTGCAAATTTCAGGTCGGTGGTTTGATGCGGACTGTTTTCAGGGGGTTTTTTTTGTGCATGTACAGTCTTGTTGGCAGTTACAGTCTCAGAAAAAATAACAACGTTAACTCAGGAGCTGGCTCCACACTTGCTAGACATGAATTCTGAAACACAAAGCGTCGCATGAATAATGAAAACGGAGCCAGTCTTTCCAGCGAGGAGCAGGCAATGACTGGTGTGAGCAAATATGTCCAAATATCACAGGGAGGTAAACCCCTTGCCATTGCTATTCCCTGGAATGTGAAAGTTGAAGGAAACAGGAAGATAGAGGTTCTAGAAGTTAAATCTCAAACATTCTGCTATTCTCAAAGACCTTTTTGGCTTTTATCCAGTTTGACTGAACCCTTTGAGGCAGCTGAAGAGATAAGACCAAAGGGATAGACAATTTGACACAGACACAGATTGCAGTGATAATCACTGTAAGAGTCTTTTACTTTGGTTCAGTGAAAAGTTTTTGGGATTGTCATTAGTTTCAGGCTGACCTTTCAGCTCTATTCTTCTGCAGTTTGGCATCATGTCTTTTTTTTAAAGTGTTTTTCTATATAGAAGAGAAAACAACAAATCTGCCCATGCCAGTTTGGCTTCTGTTTATATATTTGTATCCTTAAATCAACAAATAAGAAATGAATGAATACAAATAAACTCATTCAAAACTGATTCTGCAAGACCTTTGCATGTCTGTTGAGATTTTGAGCCAATCCTCTGTGATTATCTTCAGGTCTTTTACTGAAGAAAGCTTGTTAGCTAATCCTATATTTAGTTCCCTCCACAGATCCTGGACGGGAATCAGGGGACTACAGTTTGGCCAGCCAAAAATGTTGATTTACATCAGACAACAACAGGCAAAGATGTCTCTGTGGGGCCTGTAAGTTGATGAAAAATCAATAAGTAAAACCATAAGAAAAGAGGCAAGTGCTGACCGATAAGGCCATACCTACAGAGACCCTGAAGAATCAAATGCAAAAGGCAACATGAATCAAAACCCATTTAAGACAGGATATTATTTACTTTGCCTGATATGGTGTAAATGAAAGCTTCTTGAGTTTCAGGCATGTTCCACAGGTGCTGTGCGGCAGCTCTTGGCAGTGTTTTGGCTTTCGGAAGTAGACCTTCTCAGCTGCTTCTGCTCAGTGTCAGAATGTGAAAGTGATTCCTTTTGGCAGCAGACTTCACTGACAGTATCTTTAGCAGCTGTTTGGCTGCTCAGAGATCCTGACAAAGAACATAAAGCACAAGTGAAAACTCTCTGCTGGGGGCACTGAGGCATCCTTTCTCTGTAGGCTGTGAGATTTGGGGCCTAGTCATGTTAAGCCGAAAGCCTTTCTTTCAGTTAAACAGCTTATAAGACACAATCTGGTCATTTGATTGCATTTTTTTCTGCTGTTTGGTGCCGTTTTGATATCCTTGGATGAAGCTCAAGCTGGCCTCCGTCATTGCTTGGCAATATTGGCCGTCAGCGTGAGGTCTGACGTCCTACCCCGCAGATCCTTTCTCTTCGTGTTGTTTGTGGAGCCAAGAAGGAGATGAGTGAATGGAGACCAGCTGAGATCGAGGTAGCAGCCCTCTGTCCTGATCTCAGTTTACTACTGAGATTAAAACCACATGATAGCGCCACTCCTCACATGCTCGTAGGCGGGAGTTGCTCTGGTGCCTGAAAGAATGGGACTTGAAATAAGAAATGCACTGTTGTAGGAATAGTTGGTCCACTTGTGCCCTCTGGTGGATGCTGTTAGTCATTGCATTAACGCACCTGTCCTTTAACAGGAGTTGGAGAAGCCCAGTCCTCCTCAGAAACCTTTACCTGCTGATCCGAGAACCTCTCGTCTGGTGCGAAATCCCTCTGTGGTGAAGGGCCATTCTGTAGTCCAAGGCCCCTCTGCTGTTTGTAGCTCTGTACGTGGAGGCCCCAGACCTGGACGTCCTGCTCCTCACCCCAACAGGTCAGCGGCCACTTTTCGTTCAACACAAATCCATAAAAGCAGAAATTATTGTTGTTATCGCCCACTTATTGCTGTCACTGTTTTCTCTCATCAGGCCGAATCCCAAGCAACCTCCAACTCTACCAAAGCCTTGCATAATTGCCAGCGTCAAATACAGCAGCTGAGGCTTTGGCCAGAAGGGACATTGTGGGGACTACTCACAAAGAATTTTTGCACTATGAAAACTGAAGACCTTAAAAAAAAAAAAAGATGGTGGCATCTCTGAGCTTTGAATTGGGAGTTTTGCTCTGTCCCTTTGGTGCTTTGTCTCTGAATGGTGCTAAGAGTCTTAGCTCAGGTACATGTAAAGTATTTATATTCTGTATTTATTGCCACCAAGGTGCACTGTGCCAGACACTTTTACCACACGGTATGAAATATTCTTTTTTGTTTTCCATATCAACTGATCTCTAAGAAGGTGAAGGAGTGAAATTTTTAAAAGAAACGGTGAAAAATGTGATTGCAAAAAAATGTTCTGTGCAGACTTTTAATGAAGGGAACCTTGTGCAGTTTTTTCTTCTTTTTTTTTGTTCTATGTACTACATGTAGAAATGAAAAAGTGTATCGTGCAATGACAGGTGAGAGGTCAAAATTTCTTGAAGGGGAATGCTCTCTTTAGCATCTTTGAGCCAGTCTGATAAGACTTGAAACAACCACAGAAAAAAATATACTGGTGTTACTGCAAGCCGGCCTGTTTCTGCTTCATCTCTAGAAAGGTGACTTATGAACTGTTTGTGGTTTACCATTTTCTTCTTTACCAACCTTATAATCTCTCTGTTGGGGAGAGGAGGGTTGACCACAGATCTAAAAGGAGCTGAGGTAAAGAAAACAAGTGTCCCTGTGGAAAATGAACTCTAAAAGATTGGGTTTTGTAACAACTTGACTTCATACCTCTCGGCATAAAACACCATGAACTCACTTAGAACCGTGGCCACATGTAAACCGCCACTGTCTGTTCATATGTTGAATCTCAATCATGTTTTTCCTCTGACAGGAAAGGACACTTTCACTTGAAAAGGATGTGCTGTTATTTTGTTTGTTTCTTTTACTTTTAAATGAATTTTTAGAACCATTTAGTATTTTTAGAGCCAGTTTTTATGCCAGATATGGAGTTCATCTTATACTGAAGACTGTTTCATAATTCTGGAAGAATGGGTACCTTACATAAAAGCAGTGCAGCATATATACAATCACCCTCTGCAACGTTTCCTTTAGGCACGGCTGTTCTTTACAAATATGTTGGCTGAAAACCGATATGGACCGTTTTTTATTACTTTTGATACTGTTCTCTCTATAATAAAGCACTAGCTTTGCTTCTCCAACTATCTGTGTCCATGTATTAACGGCATATGAGTACTATCTTCTGTGTACGCTTTGTCTGTATGTTCTTTGCATCTTGTGTTACAGGTGAACACAATTTCATGGAGAATTTCTTCTTTTCTATTATTATGACTGTTCGACACTTCATTTGTAAAGTAAAGTGTCAAGTGTGAGCTCATTGTATTTTAAACACAAACAAGCAGCATTAGTAAAACAGTTTTTCAAACACAGATAAACGTTTGTCGTTGATTTTTGTGCATTTTTCCACTCATTTACAGCACGACAGTCAAATAAATATTCAGGTTAATCTACCTAAACAGCGTCTGAATTCAAGGACGGATGTCTTACAGCATCGCATTTGTTGCTGCTTTGAATTTAAAAGTCAGGAACCACTTTCTATGGAGTCTCTTGTATTTTAAGAAAAAACGTTTTTAAAAAAGATATAATTTAATGGCTTAAAGTTTGAGTCTTAATTCTGGTTCAACTTTAACTGACACTGCTGTAAAAAAAAACATTTTATTTCAAATGTCTGAATGCCCAAAAACACTCTGACAACATCTCTAATATCTTTAAGTAGTTTCAAGCCTGAAGGGCTCTACCTCATTGAGAATTTGCCCTCTATTTATATTTAATTTCATTAGGCGAAAACTAGAAGTTCTTGTAATATTAAAAAATGCTTAATTGGTTAGTTCTTTTAATTATTTAACGTCCACTGAGTCCGCCTGTCATAAAGATTAGATCACCGTATGCAGGTTATTGTGAGGATATCATGGGAACATACATACTCACTCCTTTGCACGTGATTATTTTGATTATATCCAGGGGATTATGACATGAGCCTCTGTTCATCCCCCAGTGGCGAATCTGTAAATCCAAACACGTGTGGAGGCATGCCGGGGGGGAAATTACGCACCGGCTCTTATTGCGCGTCAGCAAGCTCCAAAGTGGACAACTCCAAATTTTCAGCAGCTTCGCCCATGTTTTGCCAGCAATTTTAGAAAAATCGTCGTTCATCATCAACTCCGTCCAAATGCAAGGACATGAGCGATGCTGTTTGAACTGATTTCGACGCAGACAACTTTTTTTTTGTTTTCATTTTCAACTGAATGTACCTGAAGCTGGTTTGGTAGAGGGAAAAAAAACTTTACTGAGTTTACATAATTATATTTCTGTCATGTCGACGGCTTCTAGCTGTACAGAGCCAGACATTCACCCCAATAGTGAGCAGTGTCCCGGAGAAGATTCATTCGGCTTTGGAGATGATCTGGAGTTAAATCAGTTTGATGGATTGCCCTTTTCCTCACGTTACTACAAATTGCTGAACGAGAGGAAGATTCTGCCCGTGTGGAAGGTCAAGTGCCAGTTTGAGGATGCTCTGGCTAAAAATCAGCTGATTATTGTGTCTGGGACAGCAAGGACTGGGACAAGCACACAGGTAAGACAGATATCTTTTCAGGTTTTATTGGGGAATTACTCTTAATGCAAAGCAAATTAGCTCACAGGCATTTAATTTTTAATTTAGATGTATCTGTTAATGTTCAATTAAATCAAAATGCAGTTGTTTAACAATATTTGTGAGATAGTGGTGAAATAGTGCATATCCTTATACCCTAGAGATTTGATCAGGTTTGATCATTCCCTTCTATTTGGTTCCAAAATACCACAGCATTACTCTGTTTGTACTACAAGTGGCATATTGTTGCCACATACTCAATCCAGACTGCTCAGTCAAGAGAAAAAAAAACTCCTTGATCATATATTATAATGAAACCTTTTGAACTGGGAATATTTGCCCAGCCTTGCAATGCTTGTGTGAACAGAAGCTGCCCAGCTCAGCAGATGTTGCTGTTGTCACTGTCCAAGCTCCGGCCGGCCTGCCTGCCCGTTTCCATGCGTGCACAAAGGCTCCAGCGGGCCTGTCCAGGGAACTCCTGCTGCTAAGCCCTGATCCACTGGAGCTGCCACATGCTGCCAAAGCAATTTTGCATTCTGAATGATAATGCCATCAGATATCTCCTGTCATTGTTTGTTTTGCTGTCTGCTTAAACCAAAGCTGTTGCTATAATCCCCAAACCAGTGCGTGCAAGCGAGAAAAACGCAGTTGACGTGATAAAAGCGTGTTGTTGATCAATGTCGTGTTTTTGCTATGAATAAAACGGAGTGTGAACTATTTTTCCGGTGACCGTTTCTGTTCAGATCCCTCAGTGGTGTGCCGAGTTCTGCCTGTCTGCGCAGTATCAGCACGGCATGGTGGTGTGCACACAGACCAACAAACAGCAGGCCGTGGATCTGGCCCTGCGAGTGGCTGACGAAATGGATGTGAACATAGGCCACGAAGTGGGTTACACCATCCCTCTGGAGACCTGCTGCTGCCCCGACACTGTTTTACGGTTTGTGGAAGACACGACACTTTGTTTCACAGCCAGCTGTAAGATACCAATTTCATACAAACAAAACCCTTCCCTGTAGTACAGGCTCTCTTTGTATGGAGTTTTCTTCACTCACAGATTCTTGTGAAGATGCTGCGTCAAAGTGTGTAAAGTCAGAATCGCAGGAAATTATCCAAGTATCCTGAAAAATTTTTATAACCACAACAGCTATCTAGTTTGATGGATGTTCTCTGTGAACGTTGGTTAATAAATTGGGTTGAATAGAGAGCCTTAAAGATAGAATCATAATTCCAAACATTGATGCTAAATTACTGGATCGATGACATTAATGGTTCCATCAATCTGACGTTTTCACATTATTTTCAAGAAAATCCTTGTCATGACCCAGAGGTTATATTCAAAATGTATCTTATGACAAAAATGTTTTGAAAGTAAATCCAGAAAACTTAGGCTGGTGAGAGGTTTGTAGCCTTATTTAACCTCCTTTTTGTTAGCTTAGTGATATGATCTTAAATATTATCCATTGAATTGCAAATATCTTGTCCTTGGCTCTCGATGTTGTATTTAAATAATATTTTAATATCATGGCATTTTTCTGGAGTTGTGTTGCTCAGAAGATTTTGAAAAAAGAATCAGTTATCCCCACTTCAAGCAGCAAATGAATGAAAGCTTAGCCCTTATTTTCTGGTCCGTGACACTATTCGGCTAAATACTCTCCATATTTTCTAATTCTTCAGATACCTTACTGATGACATGCTGCTGAGAGAGATGATGTCAGACCCTTTCCTGGAGCACTACGGGGTCGTTGTTATTGACCAGGCTCATGAGAGGACGGTGAGCACAGACATACTGTTGGGTCTCCTCAAACACATCCCACTGCAGAGGCCTGAGCTGAGGGTGGTGGTCCTAACGGTGCCGCCTATGACGGAGAAGCTTCTGAGACACTACGGCAGCATCCCCCTCATCAGTCTGGAGGCCCCCAGCCCTATCGAGGTGGTCCACAGCAGCAGCAGCAACAAAGACTGCTTCTACTCCGCGCTGAGGATGGTGCTGGAGATCCATCGAACCAAAGAGAGCGGAGATATCGCTGTATTTTTTGCCTCGGCAAAGGTAAGAAACCCCCTCCCGCCTACCAAGTATGGATGCAGGATTGTTGCTCAAAATTAGCTGGAACAACCTCTTCTTCAGGAAGTGCAGAGTGCTTACAGCATCCTCCAGAGCGAGAGCTCCAGAATGGGAAAGGAGCTGGACCGAATGGAACCGGTAGTCTTGTGCCCAAGCCAGCGAGGGCCAGTGCCTGTCCAGACCAAGCCATCTGGCCACCCAAAGTCCAGGAGTGTTTTTCTCTCTACCGAAAAAGGAGAGGACGTGTGGTGGACTTTGGAGTCTGTGAACTTTGTCATTGACACAGGAGTCCAGTTAAAAATGGTAAAATATTATTTCCCATGAGACGCATCAAGAGCATTCTTTCTTCTGAGTACATCTTTTTACTTTGTTTCTTTTCTGTCCAGGTTTACAATCCAAGAGTGAGAGCCTACTCTCAGGTGCTTCAGCCTATTAGTAGGTGTCAGGCAGATTTACGCAAACGGCTGTCTGGCCCAACAGGTACGTCAGGTCCTTCATCCTCCATCTCTGAACATCCCACAGTAAAATGTGGCTCCATAACACAACAATAACTCTAGTTTTCTGAAATCCTGATACAAAAGCAAAAGATAGAATGTAAAGTTACAAACAAATGCAACTTTATTTCCAAGGTAAGTGTTTCCGGCTGTACCCAGAGGCGAACCTACGCCTGGCAGAGACATCCCCGCAGATTTTGGAATCTAATATTGCACCAACAGTTCTCTTCCTGAAAAGGATGGAAATAGCTGGCCTCGGACAATGTCAGTTCATGGACAGACCAGGTGAGGAACTCTTCCACGGGAAAGTTTCCACTGAAACACGATGAGTTTTTTTGGCTCTCTGCTGCTGCTTCCCACAACATGTCTCTCTCAGCCTAAAACATGGCCGAAGATATGCATGCAGGAGGGGTTTTTTTTGGCTAAGGGACCGTGCTCTGTGTAGCTGTTTGGGCCCAGTCATCCATGGTTTAGCTGAGCTGACAACCTGGCTAGTAACCATTGTCTGAGCTCTGACCCACCCGACATGAACAGTACAGACTAAAAGAGGCCAGCTCATTACACATTAGTGGTTACACAACATATCTCGCTTAGTGCAGACCAGAAAAGTACAATGAAATACAGGGACAGCATAAATTAACATCAATATATATACAGAAATGTTGTAGAAAATGGCTCACGACACAGTGATGCATTTTTCATGATTTGGTGCAATAATAATTTCAAGATAAAAGATTATGAATTGCATCTCATTAGTTTTTGTGACATTTTTCTACTGGGAAAAGGTTATGCTGGTATCCAGCTCACTTATCTTGTACAACGCTTTGTCTTTTCTAGCATCTATATTGGGGAAACTTGGCACGAGTGCAGTTCTGAACACTATGCAGAATTGTTTTTTTGTTTATTTTTAAACATGAATCTTCCATAGAAATGATCCAGATGTTTACTGTTTCATTCCTCGCTGCAGATCCAGAGGGTCTCATGCAGGCTCTGGAGGAGCTGGATTACCTTGCTGCCTTGGATGATGACGGCGACTTGTCTGAGATTGGCATCATCATGTCAGAAATCCCTCTGGATCCTCAGATGGCCAAAGCTTTGCTCGCATCTTGCGAGTTTGATTGTGTCAGTGAGATGCTGACGATAGCGGCCATGGTGTCAGGTACGTGCGGCCCACCTGTTCATGTTTCAATTCATTGGCAGAATGAGGCAGTTGATGGGTTTTCTTTGGATCACTGTTGATGTTGGTTCTCGCTCTTCAGCGCCAAGTTGTTTCCTAGAACCGTCTGCTGAAATGACCCACAAGGCAGTCCAGTGCCACAGAAAGTTCCAGCATCCCGAGGGCGATCACTTCACACTCATAAATATCTACAATGCCTTCAAACAGAGCCAGAGGAAAGAGTGTAAGACATCCGGTGAATAGAAGTGATTTGCTGTCTGCATGAGATGCAGTTTAACCTCAGGATCTTCTCAGTTCTAAGTTTTGTGACGTTTCCTGTTATGAACAAAATTGAGAAAAATAGGACACATTATGCGTAAACATCTATGCTATCCAGACTGTTGCTCACTGGATAGAAATGATGAAATGCAGTAGTAACGATGATAAGAGAAGACAGATGCTGCTTCTGATCCAGTGTGTCAATTTACCCAAAACTCATCATAGGAAAAAACTTGATTTATGCAAGCAACATGACATGGGGAAAAAAGCTACAGTAGGTCAGCCAAATGCATCATGCAATCTAATTGTTAATTTGCCAAGGTTTATTTGTATTCAGTTCTTATGGGCACTATTTAAACAAGCTATTTTGTCCCAGTTGCACAATTTATGTTAATTTATATGCTTAAAATTTTATTCATGCGTAATGAATAAGGGGGCGGGGGTCAACCCATTAACAGGATTCACTATTTGACACTTTGGATCGCTCTTTTTCCACAGACTTGACGGCTGAAAGGTGGTGCCAAGACTATTTCCTGGATCATTCTGCCCTGAAGACGGCTGAGGCCATCCGGTCGGAGCTGACGGACACCTTGAACAGGATCGAGCTTCCCATTTCTGAACCCTCTTTTGGAACAAAGACCAACACTATTAACCTCAAAAGAGCTCTAATGGCTGGATTCTTCATGCAGGTATGAAAACTGTCAAAGGTACTGGATTTCCCTTCAAGCAACTGAATTGTTTTGAAGTTGAATAAGTTGTTTCTGGGTTGTTGTTTTTTGCTAGATTGCACGAGATGTGGATGGGTCCGGAAACTACTTCATTCTGACACACAAGCACATGGCCCAGGTGCACCCGCTCTCGGGCTACGGAGCTCCCTCACACAAGCTGGGACTGCCGGAGTGGGTCGTCTTCAACGAGTACACTCTGTCGGAAAACAACTGCATCAAAACCGTCACCAAAATTTCCCCTCAAGTGTAAGTCAGTCTTCTCATTCAGCTCAACTTTCTGAAATGTGCCCACTGCAACTGTGACTTATGTTTATTTGGACTATATTTTTTTAGGTCTGATATCACCAAATCCTTTTATGCTCTTCAGTTAATTTTGAATTTCTTTTAGGTTCATTCAGATGGCACCGCTGTATTTCTTCTACAACCTGCCACCTAGCGAAAGCAAAGACATATTGCAGGACATGCTGGACCCAGAGGGATCCAGCAACTGTACAGACAAGGCTCCTCCAAACAGCGACGACACCGGAGGCTGCACAGCAGTGACCACTTATGACCGCTGTGTGATCCAGTAAACTGAAACCACAATTTTAGATTGTGGTATTATACCTGGTGCAATGTTCATATCTCTAGCTGATCACATGTATGTGACTGTAAGCAAGACGAGAGCTTAGACTTGCAAAATAAGTGGACATGTTTTACGTCAGCTGTGATTGCATCTAAAAAATGTAGCTCATTTCTTTTAGATTCATTTCCAGACACATTCTGCGGATAAGCAATGAGAAAATTATATCCTCGAAGTAACTTCAACTGACGAGTGTCAAATGGCTTGTGCTATGCAGCTTTGCCCTTTTCAGGTGTCAGGAAACCTCGATGCAAAGAGAAACCAGTTTTGAGACAAAATAATTGCCTCAAAGTTGCTGCAAAGTTAACACGATTTACAAATGTGAAAGCTTGTCAAATCATAACTTTGCAACTTCTTAATAGTTGAAAAGAGACACAGAAATACTGGGATGTCGAGTGGAGCTTAAGAGCATTTAGGCAGTAAAAATAATTTACTTCTTCCAGATTTATAGTAATTTAATTGTAAAACACTCAAGAAAATGCACAAATCAAAGCCAAGTGGATAATATGGACTTGTTTTATCAAAACTATTAGAGGGGGGCCGAACCAGAATTTGAATGTAAACGATCAAATTGAAAAAAAATACTATTCAGGAACACCACGCCCCGGTCAGCTGGCCCTGTCACTCTGCGGTAATCCAAGTCATTTTTTTTTAAATGCTGGAAGAAACAGGACATTACTGTAGCTTTGGGTACTGATACATTGAACCTGAATGTCTTCAGTGTGTATGTCTCAAGTTAATGTTGTTCAGACGGTAAGGTATTCTTTCAGTTTGTCCATAATAGCAGGCATTTTGTCTGTGGGAATCAACATCACTGTCCTGAAAGGCTTCATTGGAACATCATCAAATGACCATCTGCCACTCAAGCAATGGTCCGTCTCCTCCTGGACCGAGTAGTGGAACTTCAGGGTGGCTTGCTGTAGGGACAACACAGACAAAGCTTAAGACGTTAGAATGTTTAAAGTAAAGACTGAGATGGCTGAAATTAACAGCTTTCATTTGATGACCATAATTAAAAGATAAGGCTTGGCAGTTAATAAGCAGATATTCAAAGTTAGGACTGCTCTGTACATCATTAAACATTTGGTATGAAGACATGACAGTCTGGACTCGTGATTTTACCTCATAAAAAAATTCCTCTTCTGCGTTGATGAACATGTACTCGTCTTTGGGGGCTCCTCCTCTGGCTGGAATATTCTTGGTTGCCGGTTTGCAGGTCTTGCTAATCATCAGGCAATAGTGACACTTCCCACTGGGCTTATTTGTCCTCTGAGCTTCGGCCACTTCTTCCCTAAAAGACAGTTTATGCATTATTTGAAGACCTTTTTGATTGTTGCGCTCAAGTGGAAAATAACAAATTTTAGAATTATTTCTTTATCAATTTAACCAGATCACAAAAAAACAATGCAGAAAATGTATCTCAGAAAAAGGATTGACAACTGGCCCTTCTGTAACAGTGTAATTACACAGAAACACACAAAACAGTGTCTCCTACTGGAACTGGAACGTCTGTTCGCACCCAAAAATGGAAACATTTTCTACTACACAATGGGAAAATATAAAAAATGAGTAACAGCAGACCAACAGAGAACTCACTGGAGCTGTTTGTGTAGAGGAAGAGCGATCTGTGGCGGTACATTGATGAAACGCTCGCTCAGCAGAAGCCCCACCGGCTTGCTGATGTCACTGAAGATCAGCTCCAGCTGCTCCGCCACAGCATGGGGGGCGTTCTTCTCACACTGGTCCACTATCAGCTCCTTGACCTCCTCCACACATTGCACTCCCTACCAAAAACACCAAGCACACATGCAGTTAGAGTCTAAACCTCCTCATTTTTAGCCCCTCGGCGTTTCCTATCAAAGGCGTTACCTTTCTTTCGGTGAGGTTGAGCACTGTGATAAAACCAAACACTTCATCTGGGTCGTCGTCGTCACTGTCCTCTGGAACTTCAGCTTGCTGGAGCAGGGTGGAGATGGAGAAAAAGCTGAGTGACCAGTTTTCATTTCTTATTTGACACTAGATTAAAGTCACATTCCAGTCAGTCACCTTAATGACACTTCCAACATGATTCTGCTGGATGATGATGTCTGTCATCTCAGATGTGTTCACATGAGCCTTCAGGAAGAGCTGTGTACACAACAGAGTTATTAATGACACCGTCCAGACTATAATTACCATAAGAAAATTAAAACTGCTCCAAACCTGCTGCAGCAGTTTCTTTACTCCATTGTAGTCGTTGCTTGATATGGCGTGGGCTTCAAAATCAACTACGACCTCCTGACAGATAGAAAAACAATAAGTCAACGTGGAAAGAAAAAGCTAACTATCCTAAATAAGAAACGTGACTAAACATAACCCATGAAGTTCATATGCGATAGCTAAACAGGTAGTACAATGATATATAGAACTCATTTCAGACTTTACTCTCCATATTGTATTCAACAGCTATGTATACAAGATACATGGTGTTTTGGTAACTTCCAACTAACATGTTCCGACAACTGACTTAGCCAGCTAACGGGCTAGCAAACAAGGCCAAATACAAGTTCTACAAACTGCTCCGCCTTTTACCTCATTGATTTCTTCATCCGACGTCTCGCTGTCCCCATCTACGGAGTCGTCATCGTCCTCTGGATTCTCATCGGAACTGTTTTCATTTTCCTCAGGATTTTGTCCTAAACCCACAGCTCTCCTCTTAGCCGATGAGGCCATGCTGCTACACGAAACACGTGTGTCAATTTAGTGGGCGGGGCAAATTTTGTAGCCTTAAAAGAGGAAGGAAAGAAGTGAAAACTGTCAAGCCGCCATTGTGGCTCTGAATATGTGGAGCTTGCCATTCGTCGAAGTAACTACGGGAGCCGCAATGTCGGTTTATTGCATATTGCGAAATGGAATAAACCATTTGATGAAACGGGGACTACAGTTATTTAAATTGTGTATAATATCTATGTGATTGTTATAATCTCATAGAATAAAGCAACATTGTATATAGCTTTTTATCCAATAAACCACTTAAGTAAATATTTTTAATGTGTGTGATGTTACTATATAATTTCCAAAATAAGTCAAATGTACAGTCTTATGTCACCCCTCCCCCTTTTACCGTGGATGAAATCGCCTCCTTGAATGGGTCAAGGTACAGTACTTGTATTTGGGCATGAATATGTCTTTTCAACCCTCTTCTGTCTGATTTGGGGGTACACATTTAATGTTTAAGGGACACGTTTAAACACGTCGTGTCGCCGACTGGCTCTTTAAATGGGAGGTTACTGAGGCTTACGTGTCACCCACTGAGTGTCCACAATAACAGACGGAAAGAGAGATTACTAATGTGGCTACAGTCACGTAGGTTCAGATGAAAACACGACATAACTATTTTGAAATTGGGATTCACGAACAGCCATGACTCAACAGCAATGTTATCAGCAGGTTACATTTGACAGTTTTAGGGTGTAGTTCCGATAAACGAGCCTCCACACCCTCTGTCTTCAGTATTTTGTTTTTTCAGCTGTGGGTTTAGGACGTGTCTTAGTGTTTACAAGCAGTTTTCAACCCTCTAAGTACAGTTTATGAAGATTTCACCCTCTTTTCCTGTTATTAGGTCACCGCCAGGATGCGTGTATTGCTTCTAAAGGAGCCAAAAGACGGAGATTCTGGACCTGACCCTTACATTAAGGTAGAAACTATATGTCTGATTCTTTTAACATTGTGTTAAACATATATTCTGACAGGTTAAAGCTCCGTTGTGTTTTGTTTTTTCATTCTAAAGGAATTGGCATCACATGGACACAAAGCAACTCTAATTCCTGTGCTGTCTTTTAAGTTTGTGTCACTGAACACCTTGTCAGATAAGGTAATCTCCATAGTTACAGGACATTAAGTGATGTGTGATGATCATTATATGCAGCCTAAGTAGTCATTCGTTTATCTTTCATATTTTTTCCCAGCTTTTTCAACCAGACAAACATGGTGGCCTCATATTTACGAGCCCAAGAGCGGCAGAGGCTGCCCAGATGTGTTTAGAATCAAAAGAAAGAAGAGAAGGTTAACAAATGATAAACACACAAAAAAATCTTATCAAAGTTGCATTGCTCAATTGTCCGTTTGAGCCCTCACATTTACATGATATTCTCGCTCCTTCAGAGTGGAACAAAACGGTGAAAGACAAATGGAACGCAAAATCCGTCTATGTTGTTGGAAAGGCAACTGCAGCATTAGGTGAGTTGTCCCATCTGGCAACACACTTCTCCTCTCAAGGTTTATTGTGCATTGTGCTATGTATATACTGATTCACGTTTTGGCAGGTTGTGTCAGGCACCTGGTTGTTGCATATATTTGTTAAGTGATTTGACTGTCTTCACCCACTTGTTATAGGCCCGCAGCAGTTTCCTGTAACACACTGCAATTGGATTTGATATTTAATGTGTGCTTTACCCCACTGTTTTCCTGCCAGATGACCTCTGAAGTGTGTGTGTTTTTATGAGTTGATTATTTTGTTTTAACAAATACAACTTCACGTTCTTGTCTTTAAAAAAACCAAAATGATGTATGATAGTTTGATTAATACATTAAAACTATGGTAGGGATCTGCATACTTATTGCTCTGTTGCACCACTTCTTCTTTTAACACTACTGTAAGTGTTTAGATACGGAAGTCACTGATTGCACTGATCTTGCAGTAAAAAAAAACAGCTGACTAGGCAGTTGGGGATTACGTCTCCTTTATTTTTTCGGTTCATAATGCACAAAATGCCTTTGATAGGCAACATGTCTTAACTAAAGGAAGGTCGGTTTAGATTCACTCCAAAAATCTTAATCTTATTAAATGTACACTACGGTTTGGCATTATCATGTGGACATAAAGAAGGTTGACCCTGAAACAACGGCCTACTTAAAAAAAAAAAAAAGAAACCTTAATCTTTGTCCTTCTTTTGTGGTTGCTCCTACACAGTGCGAAATCTGGGCCTAATCCCGTTGGGGGAAGACACGGGGACAGCGGAGGTCTTATCGCGCCTCATCATTGAACGTACGATGTCCTTTTTGTGCACCCTCT